GGTTCAGCCTGCATACCATGTTTCTACATCCGAATTAACTCGCATAACAAAGCTTTTTAATAATATTTTTTTTTCTCGGTAAACTGCGTTTATTTTCGTGGATTTTAGATTAACTTGTGTTTTTAACAATAAACGCGGCGCGAAAATGCAGTATGCGAGATCAAAGATTGTATGTACAACGGAAATATTAGACGACTGTTAGAAAAATATTTAGATGCCCTGTTTTTACGAAGCATACCATGTTTATTATTGCATTACAATGAATCTTATTTCAGGACATTCTTATTCTTTGAATTAAATGTGGGTTTCTTTAAGCAAACAAAGGCGGAATGTACATTTATATAAAAATATCTTTCATGCGCTTGCAATTTAACTAAAGTTTATTAAAATAATTTTTTTGTTTCAAAAGAGATACTAAATTGTAATAAGGGAATAAATTTTATATTTTCATAAAAACATTGCATTCCTTTTTCTCATATATATTTTATTGTGTTATTTATATTAACATGGTATTTCTCATTAAAAAAAATTAAAATAAATGATTCCCATGAGTTTTCAATAAATTTAACATGCAGTTAGATATATAGTCGATCGTTAAGAGAACATTTCTGCTATTATTTCATCGACAGTAGACGTCATTGTTGCGAAATAAAAAGGAGAAAAACACACGTTTCTACATATGTTTCTTTCATTACATAATCCGGTCGGAAGCGATTTCGTTATCTATAGCACCCGTATTCCCTTCGGTTCTCTCTAATGATTGTTTATTTTGTTTTTCCAGGTATAGCCATGAATAATTCACTCAGCTAAAGTGGCCCACATAGGAGTTTCTCCGACTTTGAGGCAACGAGGGAGACTAAAACAACGGCATCGAGATGGGTGAGCTTTTAGGATCCGCGAGCTTTCTTCACCTCGGCGACATAGTCAGCCTCTATGCCGAGGGAAATGTATCCGGGTTCCTTTCCACTTTGGGGTAAGTGAAAAATGAGCGAAAAATAGAATTTTTCACTGCACTTGATGTAGCTGTCATTTATAACTTGGCAGCTTCTTAAACATGAGCTACACTATGAAGAGTATTCGCTTTCTTTCGTGAGAAAGTAACGGCATTTTTTTTGTTTGATGTTTATTTTTTCAAAAAGAGCCCAGACAGAAACAGTAGAGTAAAACATCAAAGAAATTTTAAACGCGTACAGCTATAACTGAATCACACACACATATCGATCGAAAATAATTTTTTAATAACTCTCAGGTTAAGAATTTTTAATCAAAAATTTATATGTCACACAACGCGGATGTAAAATATAAAATTGTCGATACAATTCAAATTGTCAATACATCATATACGTTAAATAGAGAGTATTGTAAAATTACAAAAATCAAATATTCCAATCATTTTTTTCATGGATTTGCCGTAAAATTCTTCTTTATCAAAGAATTTATTTTTTTTTATAAATATATTTTGTAAAAATTTTATATATTGTTTTTACGCAAGAACATATTAATGTAATAAATCCAATAGAAATTGTGGAATTCACTCATTGTCAGTAATCAGATTGTATGTAACAGGCATTGTCATATTTTCTAAGATTGAAAAGAGATTCAAGCCGGAGTCTATCTCAATAGTTCACAGGATCAGACAGCTTCAAAAACCACAAATATTTTTGCAGAATTTAATCCCATTTACATTCCGAGCGCGTGCGTGCAACGAGCTCTGACCTTAGATATTTATCTATTCGGGACTGTTTGCATCCTCTACACATTCGAGGTTACCGACTATCATTTCCGTAGTTCTCCATATCCATTTTGCTCTTTCAAGAATATTAGCTTTGCATTGAAAGCGCGAAATTACTTTATTTGCAGCTTTCATGATTTTTAATATTTATATCACTGCACATTAAAAATAGTGAAAAAAATGTATATGGATTATTGATATTTTACAAAAATAATTAGTGTTGAATATCGGCGCTTTATGTGGATACTGCTTGATGACGTAATATCTAGTTATTTAAAGATGTTCATTAATTTCGTGTCTCACTTTTATGAAGGCTATCTACTTTTTAAAACCATGTATATGTATAATAGATGAAAAGAAAGAAGAGAGATAAGGAGATTTATATTAAGCTACAAATTGCATAACGTTAACATATTTCTCTTATATCTTTGAAGTTTATTCTTAAGTATTATTTGTTTGCACTGAAAGAGGCCTTGTTAATTTCATATTTTTTATTGCATAAATATTTAATAGTGTCTTGCACTCTCTATCGCCGTAAAAACAATAATGAGTACACGATTATTTATTATGTTACATATAGTTTATCGTGTTTTTTGTTTGGATTGTGCGAGTTTTAGCGATATAATGGTTTTGCACTGGATAAATTTGTATATCACAGTACTCTTTTTTTTTCACATAACAAACACAGAAGTGAGATTATATTTGCTTATATTTGTTTATTCGTCATGCACACACGAGTTCGAGACGGGAAAGTTGCGCTTATATATGTATTGTATACATATATTCTAGTCAGCTCACGCATATTGACTGAAGAAAGTTTTATTCTCAGAGAAATCATGTATAAATTATTTGCAGTGTGTGTTCCATATCTCTGTTAAATGTTTTCACAATTTCAAAAAATTGCAACAAGTGTCGACTCATTATAAAATCTTGGCTAGAAAAGTATTTAATTCTTTAAAGAACTTGTGGTTAAGAGAATACCCGTTAAAATTTTTACACGTTTATTTATATTTTGTAATTCAAACTTACATTCCTTGGTAAGTAATATTTTCATAATTGTGTTTTTTTTACATATGAAATTTGTGTAAATAAGGGGGATAAGAATTATTAAGGGTTTAACTATAAATTTTATTTTATAATCGCGCAGAAAAAATTTTATTTCCTTCATCAGAGAAGATTGCGTACCGGATTTTTTCAACTTTATTTTTCTCATGTTTTACGACATTAAAGTGCGCAAAACGAGAACTTTTAATTACAATTCGACGTTTATAACGAGGGCGTCTCGGCTGTACAGGCGATTTCACAGAGCTTTATAACATTAACTGCATCGCGTGTGCAGAGAGGTTTCATCTTTCTCGCTAAGAAATCCGTATCTAAAGATGTAAAATTGCGTTCTCCCGGAGGAGCGATATTAAAACGAATGCCGCGCGAAGGTCCTACGTCAATATGGGTTTCGCAGGCAGGCGTATTATTAAATTCGCACCTGCGTATAAGGCTCGCGATCGATGAGCAATTATTTCACCCGACTTTAGCAACGTGTCGTCGTCGTAGCTGCTCGTGTATATGGATGTATATTACACGCGCACTGATGAACCCGACGAGCCGACGTCACACGGCTACCGGATAAAGCAAGATCTCTCTCTCTCTCTCTCTCTTTGTAATCCGACATCGCCGCCGATCTCGCGTACTCAACTGCGCAAATTTTTCTCAAAAGGGTACGCGTTGTTATCGACGTTAAAATACCTTTGAGCCTCGATCTTGCTCTGATTATGAAATACGGATAAAATAAATAATCGGAGAGCACGTTAAATGAGCGACGAGCGCAATAAACGTTGTTTGCATTGATAGCTAATGTGAATATAACAACTATATCCACGGTGTATAGTTTTTGCAATCTTTTGTCGCTGACGGCTATTATTCTGCTTGCTTTAAAACGTACCGGAAAATTGCTTTTTTAGCAGCTAAAAAAGCAATTACGCACACATATACCGGCGACGTAAACATTCGTAAAGGTGGAGTATTTCAGCCTCTATCAGCGCCACTGGTTGGCTATCAAAGGTGCGATCTTAATTTTAGCAATATTTTAAAATATGCGATGTTTTTTTATCATTCTTTTACCAAATTAATATGCGAATAACTAGTAAAAATGTATCCTGTAAATTACTTATTAACGAGAAAGAGATGTCTGCTATTTCGAGAGAGATGATTTATTTTTGTTTATTCCCATAGAGGATTATTTGTACATACTGACACATACATACATGTATGACAAAACGGATCAAATATATGTTTAATGCAACCTTTAACCCATGAGATCGGTTTGCGACGACGCTTCTATTTTTTTTTTTTTTTTTTCATTTCTGTTGTTGCGTGTTATTGATATGCGCTTATCTGAGAGAAAATGTCTTTCGATTGATAATTCCACGAATGTCTTTTACGCAAAACAAATAGATCAACGATAGATAGTTGGCGGTGCTAATGTGTTGAGTTAGATACGCGATTTTTTTGGCAAAGAATGACAACCCGTTGAAATTCGATGTGGTGTATGTCTGTCACAGTGTTTACGAAATTTCATCGATCGTGAAGAGGAAACCGTGGCGTGCGTGAAAAAATCACGAGGAAACGACAAAAGAAATGAGAGAATAAAAGATAGCCTTTTGTATAATTGATCTTGCATGAGAAAGCGTTGCGTGTTTTCGAAATCATGGTATATTTTCGGATGCCGTGCAAGACTGGCCAGGGGTCCGTCACTCGGGCCCCACGATCCTCGTAATTCGTCGCTCGCTGTTCGCGCGCGTTTTCAGAAGTCTCACTCTCGTACTTTATCGTCCACGTGGCCGTTTGATGCTGCGGAACACTCGGGATAAATATTCTCTCGACGATCCGCGGAAGGAGACCCATCAATTTTGACGCTGCATCATGGAAATAGGTCACACACGTTTCGCCCAGTTCGTCCTTGTGCTCATGAATGAATGCTGCTCTCACACTCAAATAAGTTCGCGGCGATCATATCGGATCATGTTTTGCTAGAGATGGCTAGAAGCCGAGTTAAAATGCAGTCATCTGGCTTCTGCGCATCTGATATCTGCACTTGAGAAGCAGATGGAAGCAAACTCGGTTTTAACGTATTTATTGTATATTCGCGAAATCAGAAAAACAAGTTTTATCAACTCGAGATTAACTATGAAAGCTGCAGATACGATAGTATCATGTATCGACGTCACAGTAAACGAAAATTGTTGCAAATTTCTTTTTTGAAGAGACAATTTATATTTTTAAAACAGAAACTGTTGATAAATTTGTTTACTTAAATCAATATTTTTAAAAAGTTATTTTATTTTATTTTATACACGAGTCTTTAGCTGAACTTATCCCTATTTAAAATTTATCATGAAAATGCGCATCTCTGATTCCCAGCTTGTTCTGAAGAAACTTTTAGAGGCTTATATTCTTTTAGCTCCTCAGCTATACAAATAGATAGTACCCGTATCTTATACGCTTAAAGTTTTATGAGGGTATTTTCATTGATTGCGGCTTTTCAAGTCCCCTTAAACGTTTAGATTTACCACGATTAAGATTGCGTGGCGTATGCAAACATATAACGATACATGCGGTTGCGTGCCACCTTTCACTCCCTTAATTACCGCATTTTGTTACAACATACATGTAGATACAAAATTGATCAGAGATATGAGAGAGAGAGAGAGAGAGAGAGAGCGAATTTTGAAACCTGCATAATTCGGTGCATGCTAATGAAAAGCTTCTAATTTGTGGCTCGATAAATGCGTCGGCGCACGAAATCATTGATAATAATGATGTGAGTATATATCGCGGCCGTGTGGCTGTCCACGATATATACTTACTTACTTAACGACGTCGATGACGGGGCTATTTCCAGAAGCACGATTATAGCCGTGTGATGAGATTGCCCTTATTTTCTGGCCACAAAGCAGGTCGGAATTTTATTAAATTTCGCGTTCAAGATGCACAGCGGCGAAAACAACCTAAAGCTATGCAGGATACACATACATACACCCTTGATTTGATTGCTATTTTTATAAATTATGAGTTAGCATTCGGCTCTATCGAGCGTATAATTAATAAAGCAAATAATTTATAAATATATCAATATTTCACGCATGATCCATTCGTAAAAACATTTACGAATTGATATTATTACTTACGCGGACAAACGCTTAAAATTTTACATTCCAACACTCAGTGGAATCTTAGGTTTTTAC